GTTTTTAGTATAACAATAACCATCAGTGGGACCCTTTGTGGGGTGCCTTGAAACGACATTGTTGAAAATAAGCGCTGTTTAACTAAATAATCTGAACTGAAACTTTCTGTGTAGTTATGCTGCTATAGGCTTAGGCTGCTGGAGGACATAATGACCACTTTCACCCTCTTCGCTGCATTCTCACACTACTCTCCAATCTTGCATTATTTGCTGTTATTTCAGCTTTTAACTTTGTTCTCTCTCTTTTCTCTTCCTAGAAGCTACACCTGGCCTGACTCTGTGTCTACCTGTGACACAGGTAGACACATATTGCAGCATTCAAAACAGCAATATATTTATTTCCAAAATCATGCAGCAAGAAAAGGTAAAAGCGTCAGCAAAATTAAATTACATAATCATTTTTTGTCTATATATTTTGTATTCTTCTCTTTCACTGTAGGTGTGCAACACCCCTCTGGGACACACTTCTCCTTCACAGACCCTCTTGTCTGTGCGACTTTGTTGCAGGGGGACACGTTTGAGGAACATCACGGGTCATTTACTGATGATGCACTGCAGAACACCTTGAAGGCCTACCCAATATTGAATGGAAGCAAGCTAAAGACAGAACTTGGTCACATCTACAGCAAAGACGAGTTCAGAGCCTGTTGTGGTGCTGAGAACCTTTTCTAGTTGTTCATGGAGAACAATCTAGAGGAGGTCTTTTCTGAAACGGTCAGTTTAGAGATCATCATCGCTACACCGATGACCACAGCAGAAGCTGAGAGGTGGTTCTCAACCTTGAAAAGGGTTCAAACTTTTCTCAGAAACACCATGACCCAGGAGAGGCTAAATGCATTGGCCATGCTCTCCATGGAAAAAAAGACTAATTTGTGAAATAAGAGGTTTTGATCAGAACGTAAATTAAAAATTTGCTGGTCTGAAGAGAAGAGAGCAAAATTTATGTTCAAGTAGATTTTATTGTTGTGTTGTAATCCCTGACCCCCAGTGCACTCCAGCAAAATTGTCTTTCACCTGGCGCCACTGATTTTGGGTCTGCATTTCCACTATACCAGGCTGTTGATGGAGATCAGGTGCTCTGACATTGAATAGGTCTTCCTCTTGCAACTACAATCTGGATAACAATTGGATGTCTGAAGATATAATTTATAACTATTTTAAAATAGTTATACTCTAAACTATACTATAAACTGAATGAAAACCAATTTTAATTTAGGTGAAGACATATGTACCTCACAGGTGTTTAGTAAATAAAATCCACAAGATCAGTCTCTTAGGACAAATAACCATAACATACAGCAGCTGCAGCAGTGTGTCTGCTCTTTTCAAACTTAAGGTAGTGAAATCAACAGTCCTGAGAACTTGTGATGGCTTTAATCTGTATCTGATCTCTTAAAAAGGCATTGATGAGAGGCTTACTCTCTGCGATGTCTGAACTTCCTTTAATTCAACATTTTCACCAAGGTTTGAAGGTTTTATCGATCTATTTGAACGCAAACTCCATAAAATAATGTCATGTTCAGCACCTGGGGCTGGGGTTATGTTTGAAAAAAAAATACACTGAATACACTATAAACTGGCAAATGACTGAAACAAAATACTGGCACTATTCAACACGTACAAAATGCTTAGCACTCACCCACTACAAAGGCCCACCTATAGGTAAAGGTTCATCCAAAAAGTCCTACCTCCCTACCAGGGCTGATTTCTGGGTAGATTTAAACCCTATTTTGTCTGATATGGCCCTGGTTCCCACAGTGGAAAGGCACATTTTGTGTGTCTTGTATATGTTTGTGTGTTCATTACCTGAAAGAGCCATATTCAGGAGGAGGCTGATATCGAACAGTTGGAACCTCTCTGGAGTGGTCCCTTACTCTTGGCTCCTGATAGAAGGGGCTTCCAGATTCCGGATGACTGCCAAGAGAATATATTCCTTTAAAAGGATAGTCTGGTGGTGGGCCGCGATGCAGTGGCTTGTAGTAGTCTCCAGGCTGCCCTAACGGGGGTAGCTGTGGGGAGAGTGGAGTGCTGCTTACAGGAGCATGGGCCTTTACACCACTGGTGGCCAATGAAAGCTGCATAAGTCGCTCACTGAGAGACCGGACATGTCCTTGCTTTAGATCTTTAAGTCCATCATCTTGGTGCACCCTCCCTGCACCACTGACACGCTGCAGTGTTGGGCGACCCTCGGTGCGTACTTTGGTGTTGCTCAGTCCAGTGACATAAAAAGCGGCACCCAGCGAGGCGGGTAGTGAAGGCTGCTGGGACTGGCTGCTCTCTTGCTGCTGAGGAGGAGAACCATGGCCGCGGAAGTACTGTGACTGAACTTTGGCTTCCTCGTATGTAGGGAGATCTTCTAGGTTTAGGCACTGTCCTTGAGTGATCCCACCAACTCCACTGCCCCCACCAACTGCTTCTCCACAAGAGCCCACACATCCCCCACCTACACTGCCCCCACCATGCCCTCCAACTCGGATAGCACCAACCTTCTCCAGGCCATTGTCTGTCTGAAGCTCCTGTCCCTGGGGCTCTTGTCTTGCAATGTGAGCACTTACTGAATGATCATCACAGGGGCTTACCTGTCCTTGTACTGAATAACCACCTCCACCACCTCCTCCTCCAACTGCTGCTGCCCCCACCCCACCTCCTCCAGACTGTTGCTGTTGTTGCAGCACATAGTTCCGATTCATCTGCTCCTGCAAGAGGCGCTGAAGGACTGTACTCCCACCACCCGCAACACTGCTATTGGATGTCTCTTCGGTTGCGGCCCTCATCTCCATCTCACGCTGGCAACGAACCTCGTGGAAGGAAAGACTACGCCCCCTGTCTGAGATAAGTGAAAACGGAAAACTGTGTAAAAAAAAAGGAAACAGCAGAAGAGAGATAATGGGCTGCAATGAATAGCTTTGGTAAAAAGAGGTGAATGTCAAATTAATGAATATAATTGAAAACATAATTTACTAAATTAATTATTTAAATTATCAGTAAACCCTTTCAAAAAATAACTGTACATTTAAATGGTTAGGATTAATTGGAATGTATGTACCTGACTGTTGTGAAATGCCTTGAGACAACATGTGTTGTGAATTGGCGCTATATAAATAAAACTGAATTGAATTGAATTAAAAAAACTGAAAAATTCAATATTTTTTGTCACTCATTTCAGAAAGTGAAACTCAGGTTCATACATAGAGCGAAATTTTCAAGCCTTTATTTCTTGTAATTTTTATGATTATGACTTACAGGGTCTCCAAAAATTAGAACATTACATAGGATACATAAAAAAAATAATATTTAAATATAAATATCAAGCTTCTTAAGCTTCTTCTTATGTTAATTTATATGCAGTCAGTACTTGGTTGGCTTTGGCTTTGCATAAATTACTGCATCAATTAAACACAGTAACACAACGGTCATTGAACCAGCTTTTGGTAACCTTGGCAGTGAAGGTAGGTGCCAAATCCTTCTGGAAAATGAACTCAGCATCTTCAAAAATCCTGTCAGCATAATGAAGAATAAAGTGCTCAAAAAATTCCCAAAATTTTCTTAAATGGCTGTGTTGAGTGTGGACTTAAGAAAACAAAGCAGACCAACACCAGTAGATGACACCCCAAATCATCACTGACTGCGGAAACCTCACGCTGGACTTTAAAGCAATGTAGATTCTGTGTCTTTCCACTCTTCCGCTAGACTCGGACCTTAATTTCCAAATTAATCTGTAAAAAGGACTTTGGACCACTGGTTTTACAGACCAGTTTTTTTTCACTTTAGCCCAGGTGAGCCAATTCTGACGTTGCCTCTGGTCCAGGTGTGACTTGACACGAGAAATGCAGCATTTGTAGCCAATGTGTCGGATTTGTCTTTGTTAGTGGCTCTTGATGTTCTGATTACAGCTTTAGTTCTATCATTTTACAATATTTACATTTTTTGAGAAATACAATTATTTATTTTCATTTCGACAATTAGAACTAGCAGCTTGATACTGGGTAAAAAAGCTGTTCATAGTCAGGTTGGGGGAAAGGAAAAAGAGTTGACAACCAAATGGGCTAACTACAGCCTTGAAAGAATGTTGAAGCAACATGGAACATGGACTGCAACTGGAGCAAGTGCTTCTAGAACCACCACACACAGATGAATCCAGAACATAGACGTCAACTGCCACACGTCTTTTGTTAAGCCATTCCTGAAACCAGAGACATCAGAAGCATCTCGCCTGGGCTAAGGTGAAAAAGAATTGGACTGTTGCTCGGAGGTCCAAACTTCTCTTTTCAAATCAAAGTAAATTTCGCACATCAAGGTCCTAAAGTGTGTAGAAAGAATGGAAAGGGATATAATCCAAGTTGCTTGAGTTTTACTGAGGTTTCCACTGTCAGTGGTGATCTGGAAAGCAATGCCATTTGCTGCTGTTGGTTCAACATATTTTCTCAAATCCTTAGTCAGTGCAGCCATCTACCAGACATATTGTAGAGCACTCCGTGGTTCCCTCTGCTGACAAGCTTTATAGAGATCCTGGATTTATTTTCCAGCTACAGTTGGCACCTGCCCAGACTCCCAAAAGTACCTACATCTACTTTAATGGCCATTGTTCTGCAAACTGGCCTGACCTACACCCCTCAGATAATCTATGAAGCATTGTCTCTTCAGGGGGAATATGAGAGATGTCAAAGCCAAAAACACAGGCAAGCTAAATGTCCCTATTAAAGCAACCTGGACTTTTTAAACACATCAGTAGAACCACAGGTTGATCACCTTCATTACAGAAACAACGGGGAAGCTGGTGCCTATCTCCAGCAGTCTATGGGCGGGAGGAAAGGTACACCCTGGACAGGTCGCCAGTCCATCGCAGGGCAACACACAAACAACCATGCACACACTCATTCACACACCTAAGGGCAATTTAGAGAGACCAATTAACCTAAAAGGCATGTTTTTGGACTGTGGGAGGAAGCCGGAGTACCTTGAGAGAACCCACGCATGCAAGGGGAGAACATGCATACGCCATGCAGAAAGAGCCCCGGCTGGGAGTGGAACCCAGGACCTTCTTACTGCAGGTAAACAGTGCTACCAACTGCACCACCATGCAACCCATATATACCAGTGAACACCAAAGCAATGCCGCGAGAAGCGATTACCAGACTACAAGGACCACAACGGCCAAGTGTTTTTCTTTTATAGAAAGCGGCATAAAAATGTATATACGTTGAGCCATTTGCTCTGCCTTGTAGTAAGTTGTCCCATTTTTCTTCTTGGCTGAATTTTGCAGCTGTCAGTAATGAGAGGATTTTTGACTTTTAATCTTGCATCATGACTTTCTATTTAAACTAACCTCAATAGGTTTATTTTCTTACAAGGTGAAGTCATCACACAAACAACTATTCTTGGATGTGGTAAATACAGAAAACAAATGTACTTTTGAATGATAGCACTTTTATATTAACTTCTGTGTCATAATGGCATCTGCATTTCCTGATACTGGGCTAGTGTTTAATGGAATTTAAATGTTTTAACCGACTATTTTATGGTTCACAATTTTGTTGACCAAATCATACCAAACCAAGTGATTTATCCAACTGCTGGATTATTCTTAGCTTTCTTTCTTTTAGCAATTTATTTGTTATAAAGTATTTTTAATATGTAAAAAACAATAGTAGATATTTCTAAAAGACATGAAAGTTTATTGTCAAAATAATGATGAGATACAATGATACATGTCTGGACTCAGGGCTTGGAAGCAAAAATAATATTTTATTATCTGCAGCAGCACAAAACTCCTGCACACAGTTGTGATGCTGAGTCCAAAAAGATGTTTGAAAGTCATATCTTCTCACTTCACAGTTGGAAGCAGTTTGTTGTACTGGGCCCATATTCACAAATAACCCTAAAACTAAAAGTAGCTCCTAGTGACGTCAGTGGTGTCAAAAATCTTATAATTTCTCTGATTCTAAGATTTTTCTTAGAGTTTTACCTTGGTAAGATAAACGTTATTCACAAAGCAACTTATGCCTTAAGAAAGCTCCTAAAGTGAACAAATGTTAAGACTAGTAAGCAGGACTGGAGTGTCTTAAGCAGAGAAGATGGTGGAAAGATGGATAGAAAGAAGAGGTATTTCCTGTACAATGAACAACAGTGAATTAATAAGATGCTCCCGCATAATCGTTCACCAATCATTCACCCCTAAACTGTCGATTAAATGAGCACATAAACATCTATAACAATCATACAATTATTAATATAGAGATAAGATGCCCCTAGGGGCAAATTAAATAGTTTCAGCAGCAGGATGGGTTAAAAATGCACCTCTAGTAAGGTAATATTAGGAAGGATAAATAAAATAAAATAGAAACAATAATGAAAACTAAACACTATATACACAGAAGGAAGATGTAAACATGGTGAACAAGTATTGGCTGTATTGTACATAATGTGCCTATGCCTAAATGGTCACCAACACCCCCGTCTCCAGTGAAGTTCGCTTGTGTGCTGCAATCTACTCTCTAGCTTTTGAATATACTAGGTACAAGCACTCTCCTCCTCCGTTTTCTCCATCTTTTTTCTCCTTTTGTTTGTGAACCTTTTGCCCAGTCAAACCTCTTTATACAACAAGGCAATCACAGTAAAATGCTGACAGGTGAGTGTCCACTTTGATGTCAAATAGATGACATAGTAAAAATTACCAGCACAAGTAAACATAATGATAAGCAAATTGACCCATATTTACATGCTCATCATTATTTCAAACATTCTGATGCTGTGTGTAAATGAACAAACTGAATAAATCATCTTTAAACTCCAGGGTTAATTGTGGAATACCACAAGGTTTAATGCTTGGGCAAATTTTCTTTATTATATAATGTATATATATATATATTTATATACAGGGGTTGGACAATGAAACTGAAACACCTGTCATTGTAGTGTGGGAGGTTTCATGGCTAAATTGGACCAGCCTGGTAGCCAGCCTTCATTGATTGCACATTGCACCAGTAAGAGCAGAGTGTGAAGGTTCAATAAGCAGCGTAAGAGCACAGTGTTGCTCAAAATATTGAAATGCACACAACATTATGGGTGACATACCAGAGTTCAAAAGAGGACAAATTCTTGGTGCACGTCTTGCTGGCACATCTGTGACCAAGACAGCAAGTCTTTGTGATGTATCAAGAGCCACGGTATCCAGAGTAATGTCAGCATACCACCAAGAAGGACAAACCACATCCAACAAGATTAACTGTGGACGCAAGAGGAAGCTGTCTGAAAGGGATGTTTGGGTGCTAACCCGGATTGTATCCAAAAAACATAAAACCACGGCTGCCCAAATCACGGCAGAATTAAATGTGCACCTCAACTCTCCTGTTTCCACCAGAACTGTCCGTCGGGAGCTCCACAGGGTCAATATATACGGCCAGGCTGCTATAGCCAAACCTTTGGTCACTCATGCCAATGCCAAACGTCGGTTTCAATGGTGCAAGGAGCGCAAATCTTGGGCTGTGGACAATGTGAAACATGTATTGTTCTCTGATGAATCCACCTTTACTGTTTTCCCCACATCCGGGAGAGTTACGGTGTGGAGAAGCCCCAAAGAAGCGTACCACCCAGACTGTTGCATGCCCAGAGTGAAGCATGGGGGTGGATCAGTGATGGTTTGGGCTGCCATATCATGGCATTCCCTTGGCCCAATACTTGTGCTAGATGGGCGCGTGACTGCCAAGGACTACCGAATCATTCTTGAGGACCATGTGCATCCAATGGTTCAAACATTGTATCCTGAAGGCGGTGCCGTGTATCAGGATGACAATGCACCAATACACACAGCAAGACTGGTGAAAGATTGGTTTGATGAACATGAAAGTGAAGTTGAACATCTCCCATGGCCTGCACAGTCACCAGATCTAAATATTATTAAGCCACTTTGGGGTGTTCTGGAGGAGCGAGTCAGGAAACGTTTTCCTCCACCAGTATCATGTAGTGACCTGGCCACTATCCTGCTAGAAGAAGGGCTTAAAATCCCTCTGACTACTGTGCAGGACTTGTATATGTCATTCCCAAGACGAACTGATGCTGTATTGGCCGCAAAAGGAGGCCCTACACCATACTAATAAATTATTGTGGTCTAAAACCAGGTGTTTCAGTTTCATTGTCCAACCCCTGTATATATATATGCTTCCAAAAAATTAAAATTATCAGGCAGCATTGGATACATTTTATGTATGTACATTTAATGTTATGCTGATGATACTCAGCTCTATTTATTCATAAATCCTAAAGAGCCAAGACATAAAAAATTGGATGCTTTAAATTTTCTACTTCTAAATTTAGACAAGACAGAAGTTGTTGTCTGGACCTGAATCTTTGATAAAGAAACTGCTTAGTCAATCAATTAATGCTGATGGCATTAAATTGACCTCCAGTAATAAAGTAAAAAACCATGGTGTTATTTTTGACCAGGACATGTCATTTAAATCCCATAATAAACACATTTCTAGTATTTCCTTCTTTCACCTCTGGAACATTGCCGAAATTAGAAATATCCTATCGAGGAGTGACGCTGAAAAACTAGTCCATACATTACTACTGCACTACTGTAATTCTTTGCTATCAGGATGTCTACAAAATGCAGTTAAAAGCCTTCAGCTGATTTAAAAATGCTGCAGCAAGAGTTCTGATGAAAATAAAAAAAGAGATCATATTTTTCTATTTTAGCTTCCCTTCACTTGCTCCCTTAATGATCTAGCTCCATGATACATTACAGATCTGATTGTTCCATATATTCCTAACAGAGCACTTCGTTCTCAGACTGCAGGTTTATTGGTGGTTCCTGGCATCTCTAGAAGTAGAATGGGAGGCAGATCTTTTAGTTATCAGGCTTTTCTCCTCTGGAATCAGCTCCCAGTTTTAGTCAGTGAGGCAGACACCCTGTCTACTTTTAAGGCTAGGCTTAAAACATTCCTTTTTGATGAAGCTTATAGTTAAAGTGGCTTAGGTAATCCTGAGCTATCTCTGTAGTTATGCTGCTATAGGCTTAGACTGCTGGAGGACATAATGACCCATTTCACTCTCTCTGCTACACTCTCATACTACTCTCCAATTTTGCATTATTTGCTGTTATTTCAGCTTTCAACTTTGTTCTCTCAGTTTTTGTTCGCTTTCTAGAAGCTACATCTGACCTGGCTGTGTGTTTAGCTGTGGCACCTTCCTGGAGGTGGACATCGGCCAAGCTGCTGCTGCAAAGAACTTAATGCTCTCCTTATACAGATGATACACTTGGCAGTCTTTGAGCGTTTAACCCTGTCTGTCTCCTAGACATAGCTACTGACTGAGCTTTTACTGTGACTAACTGTATGTGCTCCCTCTCATGCTCTAGACTTGAAAATGGGCTCAGAGTTCATCTGCTTAGCTGTCTTTCTCTCCTGGATGAAGCCTCTAAAATAGCTATAACAATTAATGTTTCACTTTTCTTTTCTATAGAAAGTACTAATGGATTAGTGCTTCTGTTCTTTTAGTGTCTGTTCTCTCAAACTCCCAGTCGGTCGTGGCAGATGCCTGCTCACACGGAGCCTGGTTCTGCTGTAGGTTTCTTCCTGTTAAAGGGAAGTTTTCCTCTCCACTGTTGCTACATGCATGCTCAGTATGAGGGATTGCTGCAAACTCAATGCAAGCAACTGTCCACTGTTGCTACATCCAGGAGGAGTTAATGCTGCAAGTCACTCACCGGATGCAATCTGCTTGGTTTCCTTAGAAAGGACGTCTTCCACAACACTGGAACTGACAGGAAGGCTTTGGGTCAAAGGAGGGTGGGATGTCTGTTTGGCTGTAGGCAGAAGAGGATATTGAGCTTGTTCCTGAATTGAACCTATTGAAGAATGTGTTCAGTTCATTGGCTCTGTCCAGACATCCATCTGTCCGATCGTCCTTCTGCTTGAAGCCTGTGATCTTCATCCCTGACCAATCATCTCTGATATTGTTTTGCTGGAGCTTGTTCTCTAGCTTCTTCTTGTACACCTCCCTACTGTCAGTATGCCCCAGGACATGTAGCCTACCTCGGTTAGAGTGTGAACGTGTGCATGAATGGGTGGATGACTAATTGTA